TTTTGATTGGAAAACATTACATTTTCTTGGGAGGATCCCCAAAACCCCTGACCAACACCAAAACAGTCATCTAAAGCTCACATTAAACTGGGAAAACACTGCAGTTTTAAGCTATTCTAAGGTGCATCGCATGCTCATGGACACAAGAGCAATGTTGCTGAGACATGTTGTGTTCACCTCTGCTGCTACAACTCCATCCTAGGGGAAACACTGTTAAGTTTATTTGTTTTGTGAAGTGTGCTGCTGAAAGAAATCCTAGAGGAAACACTGGTCTGCTCTTGGAGAACAGTGACGCAACCAATTTCCTTTTTAAATACGACCCAGGGAATAAAATGCAGCATATAAAGTGACAGTCACTTACTCATTTTCTTCTGTGTTTCATCATCTTTGCTTTTTTAAAGTTTAGTATATGTTTAGTCTAGGGCTGGGCGATATGGCCTAAAATAAAATCTCCGATTTTATTTACTTTAATTCAATTTACGATTTTTTCCGATTTCCCCCCCTACTTAAGGAAAGCAATAAGGTTTGTTGGTCAGTGCGGCTTTGTTCATCGCGGAGAGACTGGCATTTTTCATATTCGGCTGGATGTCTCTGTTTCAGGTGTTGGAATAGGTTTGTGGTGCTGCTGCCTTTCACTGCGATAGGCTTTAGGCAAATGTTGCAGCGTGGTGTCTGTTGTTCCACATCTGTCGCAGCAAACCCATACCAGTTCCAAACAACAGATGACTTTATTCCTTTCTTGGGAACAAACTTCCCGCTCTCACCGGTAGCCATTTTGTCGCTTGCTGTTGCTGTTTAGTGTATGATGTTGTCGCTATGGGAAACGAACACTACGGAAACCCCGGGGAGCCAAAAATGTGCTATTACACAAAAACTCGATTTACTTATTTTTTAAATCGCCCGCAACAAAAAATTCGAATTAATTCATTCAATCGATTTTTCGCCCAGGCCTAGTTTAGTCTATTAGTTGTTCTGTCCTGAGGTTAAGAGCTCAGTGTGTTATTGTGACCAGTGCAGGTTAATTTGGACTGAGAGCCTTTTTAGTGACTGAAAAGCTGGTGATGCAGTAAAGTTTATTTTATGACTGGTCAGTGAAAGCACCTGTGGGTCAAACAACTTAAGTGTTGATGTTTGTCTTCTTGTTTGTGTGCCTCCTTCAGGTTTGTGGTAATGCTTTGATGAAGCAGTATCAGGTCCAGTTCTGGAAACTCATCCTGCTACTTAAAGAGGAATACTTCCCAAGGTACACACTCGCTTAAGATGTAAAGCGTCTTTCACCAGCAGATAGCCAGATGTTTTAGCAGCAGCAGCAGCTCTTGCTACAAATTTAACTTCCTTTTGTCTGATGTGTTGGATGGTGCTTTTTGGTGTCTCCAGAATTGAAGCGGTGACCACCACTGGACAGATGGGCTCAGTCATCAGACTCAAACAGTTTCTAGAGGTACGTGACTGGTAATGTTGGCACTAAACTGGAGTGGTTACTGACACTGGTGTTCTTCAAACAAGATGTCCTGAAAAAGGCAACGTTACTTTGTGCTTTTCTAAGAAAGAACAGAAGGTGAAGGCAGTTTGGTCTCCGTTTTTGCCTCAAAGTTCAGTTTAATTGATCTCACAGCAGTTTGTATCCCAACATTGCAAATGAGGGCACGACACCTGTATGCTCTGCTGTCCAGTCTTTCTTGGCCACGTAAAATCTGACTTCTGGTCTGTTAACACCTCATACAGTCTATGATTAACACACAGTTAAAAACGGGACATTTCCGGGGGCAGCTCCAGAAGGGGACATGTAACCAAAACCGGGGACTGTCCCGGAAAACGGGGACGTCTGGTCACCCTAAGTTAGCTAGCCTGTTGGTTTTTCAAAAACTACTTGTGTGTCTTTCAACAGAGAGATTCAGCAATGTGAGCATAGTTAATGAAAACAGTTAGTGACCTAGACTTAACTTTTTGAATTCAAATAAACAAACCAAGCGGAGGTCTCTCCGCGACTCAAGCGCCTTTCAGATGTCGACCTGTGTTTCGCCCCGATGTCGATCTGATTCTTGTTTGACCTGACGGGGCACGAGAGCGCGTCGCAGCCTGCGTAAACCAATGGAATGTCAAACAGCCAATCTGGCAGAAATTCAGCCCAGTTAAGAAATTAGTCGACCAGTTCAGGGTTAAAATATCTTCATGCATTGGGTGTCTGCTTGGCATTTGCTCGGACAGTTGAGATGAAAGCACAGTGTAACACTGTGTTCCCAAAAATGTTTTATTTCCAAAATGAGAAGGCAAATTTACTCACTGCAAGAGAACATTTGAGCTACATGACTTGATGACGTGCAGTTAAAGAGAGAAGCAAATGCAGGATGGACAACAAAATTTAAAATGTAGAAAAATGTAAAAAGTTGACAACAGGATTTCTGTCATTACACATTGAAATGCATTAAGGCAATGGCTTTTGTGATCTCAATGTTGGTTGGTTTCTTGTGGGGGAATAAAAGTAAACTTATCTTTGTCTCCCACACATAGACGTCGCTGCAGAGCCGACAGATCAGTCCGCCCAAAGGCCAGCTGAGCTCCATGTTCTGGAGGTCGTGATGGAGGAGGGGCCATGTTGGATGTTGCTGCATGATGCCGATTAGGCATGGAAGGAGACTTTCTCTACAACTTCAGTTAGTAGCAGGAAACTGCAGATAGATGGCCGCCACTTCTGCAGCTGCTGTAGCTCATGGACTTTGGTGTCAGTTTCATTTACTGAAGAGAACTGACCAGAGGAATTTGATGACGATGACACAATGAAGACCACTACATTTTCTGAATCTCATTATGTTCCAAAGTAAAAATGAATCCAACAGTTTTGAACGGCTAACGGCGAGATATTTATCTTCGGGTTCTTCAAAACAATGAAGGGAGCACTTCTTGCCAACTTAGCCGTCCTCCAACAGCTGTTCGAATGGTTTTCTGGGTGTCACCGTTGAAACGTGTCTCTGTGCACTGGTGGTTTTCTGCTTCTTTCAGCTTTTAGAATATAGTTCTTAAATGAAGACAAGAAATAATTATGCGTTGTGTTGAGATGTAAGCGTCTCCTTTAACGTTTCTTGTGAAGTGCCTCAGTTTGAATCCTTAATGTAAAAGATGTGTTCAAGCTCATAATGTGAAGCTGTTTATATCGGGGGGGGGGGGGCTATTTTATTTAACTCCATTTGGTCACTACAGGATCTCAACAAGTCTTGAAGCAAAATGGGGTTAAATGATTTTAACTTTTGCTATTTATATTTTTATTAATCCACCATGTGGAACAGCTTTGTGTAAACTGTTAACCAATGTGAATGAAGTTATCCCAAGACTAGAAATATATATGTAGAGGGATTTAACTGCAAATGTGTTCAAAACGTGCATTAGTCACACAACACAAATTATTTGATACAGAAATCTAAAGATGACCTTAAAGGGAAACTCTGTGTGCTTGTTTTGAAGGCGCAGAGGTGTGTTCTGAACATAATGTAGACCGGTGTGTAACAAGAAAGATTGTAATCATCATCTATGAACCAAATGGCTGAAATAAAACCTCATCAGCAGTTTACTTGATGTTTTTGTCATCCTTGGGTTTGTTTTTGTACCCTCCTTGAAGAATACAAGTTTCAAGAGGAAAAATGATTGATCGAGATACTTCAAATCAGAAATCAACGGAAAATTTATTATTTAACTAACAGTGAGAAACAGTCTCTGGTTCAAGCGTCTGAAATATGAGGATTGTTGTTCTGTCATTCTGAATTTAATGTCTGGGTTTTGCAGTTGTCAGATAAAACAACATTTGAAGACATCTCTTTGGCTGGTTGGTTTTAGAACTAAAGGCCACGGGATTATGGGAAGATGCAGGATCCATCCGATATGGGAGGTTAGCGGAACAAATTCCCGAATAAACTTGCAATTATTCAAATTACCAAAAAACTAACAAAACACCCAAGTGAACCTGTGACTTCTGGGACAGTTGTTAGTCCACCCTTGGTCTTTTACAGAAATATACACGATTCTGTGATGAAAATAGGAATTAATTGCACTCTTCAACCTCATCACATTGAAAGAGTAAAAATTTATAGTTAAAAGATCAGTGAGGATTTGAGTCTGTTTTATTAGTGAGGTTTTTGTGATTATTTCTTTTGCAGCACCCTGAAAACATTCAGATAATTCTTCAGATCAGCTTTACGAATATCTGATGAGAAAATTCAGTGCATTATTTTTATTAGTTGTTAGTTTTCTTCTTTGCCACACATTAAAACGAGAGCAGCCGCTGCCTCTGACAAACTGCACTTTTCCTTTTTTCTCAGATGTAATCCTACATATGTGTAATTAGAAAATATTTTTATATTTTTTGTCTTTGGTTAAAAATAAGTTAATGTGAATTGGTGCTCAAATAAAACAATTGTTGTTTCCTTCTTTATTTTCCTTTTTTACAACGATGCACACTGAGTTAGTTTTATGACAATTCAGAAATTGATCTGCAGTTTGCATATTAAAGTACATTCAAGTGGCAGCCCACCAGTTCTTACCATTTTATTTTACTACAACGAGAACACCAATCCGATCGACCAGACTGATCCTGCATCAGTTACACAAAAACTATCTGAAATAAATAAGATAACCTGATCTCATGGTGCCTGCATACACAGAAAACTGCTGAACCGAGAAGAAAATCAAAATAAACTTTTTCCCAGACAAAGCTGCAATAATCTGAAGGGTAACAACGTGTCTGCCTATAAAATCAAATTAAATAATAAAGTTTTCTGAAAGTCAACTAGAACAAAATCTCAACATTTTTGATCACTTAAAACTAAGTGATGCGTACTTGACTTCCAATTGAAGAAAATTTGTTGATAATTGAGGGCTAAAACTTGAAGAAATAAAAAATGTTTTGTTTTAAACTTGAGTCCTTGCGGGGGCCCAAAATGTTTGGTCGAGAAGGAAAAGACCAAGTTAACAAAGAACTACAGTACTTGATGTGAAATACAAGCAGCTAAACGTTTTAGTCATGGTGAAGAGTGAAAAATAACGTAAGCATTTTTCTGACGTTTTGTGACACCATTCAGGGCCTTCCAACTGTCCAACTATTAAAGGGTCAACATGTGATACTTTCACCTCCCCACAACAAAAAACAAAAACATATTTGCAGGAAATTGACAGAATTGCTGCATCAAAGATCTGCAAACTTCTTTTGTTTTCGTTTTGTTTGCATTGCGAAAGTTTGACTCAATATTACTAAAACAGTATGTTGATTTATGTTGCAGTTCCCACAGTTCACCAGTAAAGGTCAGTAAAATGCCCTTAAATGAACAGAAGAGTTGATGGTAAAATATCTGGTGACAGTATGTTAATGTGTGCGATCTCTTTATCTTCATATATGTCTCCAGTTAACTTATTCATACAAATCAACAGGCTTTAAACTCAAGGGCAGGAAATCAATCAGGGCAGTAGTAATTTCCACAATCATAGCAGGAACTTCTTGCTTGCTGATGCTGGTCACCGTCTTTCTGCCGGGTTTACTGTCTTTCTGAGGCTGGAAGGTGTTCTGTGGTCTCCTTCAGCTGTTCGACTGGCTTCGGCTTCAGTTGCGGCCCTCGTGATTGAGCGATGCTCTCTCCATGCGTCTGTACCAGTATTTGACCTTGGTGTTCTCCATCATGTCATCAAACGCCTGCAGGCCCTCCATCACTCTGAGGACGCCAAACACTGCCTGCAGACGGAGGAAAATGGGGGGAACAAAGATACAAAGATAGACATTAAATTGTTTAGGCTGAAACAGTCGCTACATCGTTCTCATCAAAGCCACCAGACTCTCGACAAGACACTTGCATGAATTTGATGTTTTAAAGGGTTAAAAACACCAAAGTCACACAATTACACAAACCAAGACCAAACCGATCGAAGCAGCGGTAACCCAGAGGTAAAGTTAAATTTTTGTCAAGGGAGTCTGGTGGCTTTGATAAAAAGCAATTTAATGACAAAAAAAAGGTTTCTCTCTCTCTCTCTCTCTATAATGTTGTCAGAGACTTGTACTAACAATCTGAGCCTGTCAATGTCAAAAACAAGCACTTTAGTGGACTTATTTTGATGGGGCGCAATTGCTAGCAGGGATTACATTGCACCCCTGTTTCGCTGCTTCTGACCGCCAGGTTGTGATGTTGCAGCGCGCTCACTCAACACTGGACCAATTCCAAAAAACCCACATAGATACAAAAACATGGGAAAATATGGTCCAGGTTGAAAAATACCTAAGTTACCTTTTAACTTGTTAGCCTTTTAGCATGCTAACAAACCTATTGTTTGCTTTGTTAACGTACCTGTTTAAGAATACTGATGTTAATGTGCACAGTTAGCATGTTACGCAGTTTAGTAGGCTAACTTGTTTACATAAATGTATGGGGTGGTGAGGGCGCACTGGATAAAATACATCCCTTGGGTGTTAGAGACCTGGGTTCAATTCCCACTGTATTCCTGAGAAAGACACTAATCTCTAGTTGCTCCAGAGGCGTGCGACCTCTGATATAATAGTAATTGTAAGTCGCTTTGGATAAAAGCGTCAGCTAAGTCGCTAATTATTATTATTTCATTAACATGCTACATTTTAGCATTTTCTTTTTCAGCATGTTAACTTTTGTATAGCTAATATGGTAACTTTGATGTTAGCAGAACATATTAGCTTTTAGCATTTGTTTGTTTTGTGTTATACGAGTTTGTTTAAAAATGTACTTGTCATTCTAAGAATAAATTTAAAAAACTGTTGAAGTACTTTATTTTTTAATAGGACGAAATACTAACAATGCATCAAGACAAAAAAAGAACATCTGAAGTGAGCGAGTTTTATGTTGCTTTTATCTCAACATAAGCTGAGGCTGATGTCATTAACAGAGAGAGACAGGTGTGTTCCCTCACCAGGTCTGCCAGGTTGGGATGTTCTCCACCCATGAACTTCCTTTTCTTGCCGATGGCTGCCACCCAGTCGTTGACGGCCTTGTAGAGATCCTGCCTGACGTCGTCCTGCAAGTTGTGTCTGTCGTGTCAAAAAAGAGAAGAAGAAAGTCACTGACTTGACAAATAAAAACTAGAATTTTTAACCCCTTAAGCAACAACCAGAAACATTTCCATGGCATGGGAGACAGATAAAAAAAAAAAGCAGAACTAAACTCAGTGTAAGATATTCATGTGTAACTCACCGACTTTTGAGCCTTTTGGAGATGAGAAACATGGCCGCAGCGCCGACATATTTGGCAAAGAAACCTTCGAAAGTACCAAACTTGCCCTCGCGTACAATGTAGTCGAAGGAGGCCAAGGCCTCACCGGTAGTTCGGTACACGTTGGGAGATATAAGATGCACAAGCCAATCGTCTGCCCACTGACGCCACTTCATCTCCTCTCTGAAAATAGGAAGAGACAACAAATGCCGGGTACAATAGCATAGTAGCAATAAGACTTGTGATTTGCATAATAAGTCCACGTACTAGAAATGTTCTATGAAGTAGACTTGCTGGAGCTTTTAACCACATCTTGTGGCTTTCAGTAGATGGAATTTGCTCAGTCGTCATTTAGTTCTTGTACAGCTGCTTGTGTGTAGACAACATTTAATGCTGAGAAGTTTGCCTTGTTTTGTTTAATAATTTAAAAAAAAGAGGGGGTTGTGTATTGGCACTAATATCAAACAATTTTAAATGTACCCAGTTGCTGGTTTAGACAGTAGGCCACTCACGAGCCAGGGAGCAAGTGTGCTAAACAGCCATTGGATGACACAGAGTGCAATCTTTCAAAATAAAAGTATGCTGATGGTTCCAGGCTGTGATTTCTACCTCTAGCGTCTGACAGTTGTTTGTGTGTGAGCGGCAGGTCTGGACTCACTTCTGCATTCCCTTCTCGGGTACGCCACCGCCGTCTCGGCCTCGCTCAGCATCAACCAGTACTTGTTGGTGTACTCCGTCACCTCCTTCCCTCTGTCATTCACCGACTTCATCTCCGGGTAGCAGCGAATAATGTCAGACATGCTTTTCTCCCTGGATGACAAAGGTTCACGTTTAAAGGGTCAGTGCACCCAAATTACAAAAATATTTATAAATTCTCTTTCTCTCCAGTGCTATCTATGCATGCAGTTAGTTTTGTTTTCAATTGCCTAGGAGATTTTAGAAAAGTAATAATTGCTTTATTATCGATTGCTCTGCTTATTATTTTCTTGATTAATCACTTTCAACTTTTATTTTGTTCTTTGAGGCCAACTGGTTTTCCAGAAAGGCATAGTACAGTACATAAAAGAATATACAGTACAGTAAGAGGGAGGGGCCCCAAGTAGAGTGGACAAGAAGTCCAACAAAAGTACTAAGCGACAGGAGTAATAACAGCAGACTGAATAAGCAGCGGCACGATTTTGACCATATAAATACTACAGCTGCAATGATTTACTGATTCCGTTTCGACTATGGATTAATTGGTTTAAGAAAAAAAGGCACAATTCTCTCATTTCAGCTTCTAAAACGTGAATATTTCTGGTTCTGTTCCTCTGTGACAGTAAACTCAATATATTTGGGTTGTGGACAAAACAAC